CTGTTACCCAGGTTTTTTTTTAGAAATAAAAGGGTCCTTTATAGATTTTGCGAAAAAGGTATTTTATTGTTAATTTTCCACAGATTTTACTTTAGTTGTATTAATTAGTTTTTAAATTTTAATCCCTATTTACATTTGGCAGCAGTGTAAACTTTGAAAGAAAAGTTAATTTGGCACGCAGGCCTTCGTCAATTAATTTATTCCATATCTTCTGTAACCATAGGCTAATTTTCTCCATTTTGAGTCCCTTATACTCCCCCTTCTGTCTAGCATAAGGCCTCATACTCAAAAATCTAATAGACTCGGAACTGGTGACTAGGACGGCCATTCATTCGAACAACCCTATACAGTTTTTCTCTTTTTTTGTCTTTTTTTATACAACGCCTAAGAAAAAATACACCTGAAAAAGACTTGCGTGCCAAGTGAACTTTCCTCTCAAAGTTTACACTGCTGGCAAATGTAAATAAGGGTTAAAATTTAAAAACTAATTAAAACAACTAAAGTAAAATCTGTGGAAAATTAACAATAAAATACTTTTTTCGCAAAAGTAATGAAGGACCCTTTTATTTCTCAAAAAAACCTGGGTAACAGTTATTCGTCGCCACGCTGTACATATACGCGTCTATTTTGCCTTAGTCATCATAGCGTGCAAGTTGTTATAACTAATCGTTACAAGTCAAAGATTAATTGTTAATAGTATAGCTTAGCTGTATGTGTGTGGTATCAGGTATAAAAATGATAACTCTATTTAAATAATTGCCTGCTTAGGTTCAGAGATATGTACATATGTATGTAGCTCTCAATATAGCGCATAGACTACAAATAATAGATTTATCGAAGTTTATATTGAAAGTGAAGATATAATTTTATTACCAGCCGGCTCAGCTTTCATTCAAGAACATGCATAGTCTTTATAACTGTCGTGGTCAGCTTAACCTTAGGTCATAGTAAAAAAATAAATGTATATTTGGCGCTTACATTTTGGTAAAGGGTTGGTCGACCTTCTTCTTCAATTTCTGGTGAGAGTCTTGATGTTATTGTAAAAATGGAGGACCCTAAAGTCTTACGCCCACTCCGAACTGCAAATGGCTTTTATGAGAAGCTTTTTCAACTATAAGAAAACAACTATTCTCGGAGCTTCTAACGACTCGGCTACGGTGACCGCCATAGTACTATAGTGTTATCCTAGACAGTGCAAAAAGAACATGTGCTCCCCCCATCCAACGAACGGAAATGTATCTTAATACTCCGAGCGGATTCAATGTATTGAAGGCTTAGATTAGGTTAGACGGGCAGCTCTGGTTAAAGGGTTCCCTCGGAAGCCCATTCTGATGCCCCAGACCAGTTCCTACATGTATTTAAACTAACCACTAATTTTGTGGTAGACCCTAATATACTCTGTAATGGAATGTACCTTCAGCTGTTTAACTTCTAGAGTAACTGTTCTGCAGACTTCTAGACTAGAGACTTCTCTCAAAGGCTGTTTCTGAGAAGAGCTGCCAAATCTTGTTTCAATAGTCATTTTGGGGCCATATTTAAATGTGGGAATTTCATCATCGCATAAAATGATATCAATAGGGCAATCGATCTTAAGCGAGTACTCCAAGAAATTCCTTTTAAAGCTTCAAATATTTTTCCCATAGTAAATAGTAAGATATCAGTAAACTTGCGATTAGTGAATACCTCCAATGTGACACCTGTGCTTTGTCGACGACGATGCACTTGACAATCATAAATTGTCGCATGCAAAATTTTTTTTTTACACCACATGTTTGTAGGTAAATAGCTTAAATATACATGCGTATGTAAGTTTGTAACGTTTATCCTTTATTTACTTGCCATCGTCAACATTCATTTAGCGCTTTGAAGTTGTGGACATTGAACGACAGTTGTGATGTTGCTTTTTTTGTAGATAACATGTAGTTTGTACTACTTACATATGTATATATGTTTGTGTGCATCGCTTATAATGACGTTTCGCCCGACTGCATTGCCGCACCAAAATAGGCCAACATACAATAATTTGACGTAAATCGCATTTAATTACCGCTAAAGTTTGCCATATAAAGTTACATACGTATACCTGTGAGCATACATAGTAAAATATGAACATACCTATGTACAGTGGCGGTCAAAAATGGATGAATGGTGTTTCGTTTTTAATATTTGCAATGTTTTTCAAGCTAAAATTTTTTTTGATATTATTTTATAAAAATATGGTTCATGCTTATCATACTTTCAAACTTTATACAGAACTTAGAAAAATTCCACGAACTTTTATCTAAATTTCGAGCTTTTTAAAAAGAATTTTTATAACTTTTTTGGGTATGCAGTTAACAGGTTTATACAATTTTAGTGAAATAAAATCAAGTTTTGAGCGGCTAAAAAATCGCATTGATTTTTAATATTTTTTTTTGTTGACGTCGTTTTGCACTTTTCTTCCATATAAACATGAATTTCTTGTCAAAGAATATGCGCAAGACCGTTTGCGAAATAATTAAAAAAAAAATCAACGCCAGTTTTCTTAAATTTCTCTATTTATATAAAAAAAAAACGCAAAAGCCGCAAAAAAAAAATATTAAAAATCAATGAATTGAATTTATTTTACTAAAATTTTATAAGCCCGTTAACTGCATACCCAAAAAAATTATAAAAATTCTGGTTAAAACGCTCGAAATTTAGATAAAGATTTATGGAATTTTTCTAAATTCAAGGTGAACAAGGTTTTTATAAAAAAATATAAAAAAAATTAGCTTGAAAATCATTGCAAATATTAAAAACGAAACACCATTCATCCATTTTTGACCGCCGCTGTATGTATGTACACTAGGGTGGTTAGAAAATGCATGTGAAAAAGCAAAGTCGGAGGGTTGATGCTCTCCACCTTGTTCTATATCGAAAAAATATATTTAAATAAAAAAAAATATTTAGGCATCGCTCACACTTTCCCATATTTTTTATATAAAAAAAACAACTTCGTGGAAATGGTATAGAATTCTTGATAATAAATATTTTTCGATCGGAAAAAAATCGGTATTAAAAAATTTGGTTTATTAGTTTATTATTGGAAGTCTTCTGAAGAGAACCTGAGTTTACCGAGCAATATTGATTTTCAAGAATTCTATACCACTTCGACGAAAAGTTGTTCTTTAGCCAAATAAAATACATGGAAAACTTTGAGCGATTTGAGCGACCTCTAAATATTTTTTGATTTCAGAATAAAAAATAAGGTTCAATTTTTTCGATATAAAGCAAACCAAGGGGGTGAGAGCATTAAAATGCAGACATTTTTTTTTTACCACCCTAATATACATACATCAATGTGCGCTGTAGAGTTGGCGCTGCAACTGTACTAATGCACATCTCGGTCCACAGTGGCCAGCAGGCATTTAGCGGTGAGTCGGTGATTGCGGCTGCATATTTGATTGATGAATAGTTGGCGTTCAATCAGTGGAATTAATTGTACATCTCTACATACATACATATGCATATGTGGATATGGCTATACGCTTAATTACTTATAGACAGTTATTTCTTTTATCTGAACGCCAATTTAAGCTTTTTTGAGCGGGCATACATCGTCTAATATTTTCTGTTAAATATTTGGTAAAAATGTCGCTTGATCCTTATGAAGATCATCTGACATGCATAAAAATTACATACTTAGTGGACTGACAGCTGCGGCAGGTTATATTAAAGGGGAGTCCTATTCTTGACGCAAGTTTAACTAGAGACCAAGCAGATCAATTCCTCTGTAAAATCCGATTCATCCAAAAAGCCTCCTGCCTTCCTTAATTCATTAGCTCTCTCACATCCTTCGATGTTTCTATGTCCTGGAACGCAGGCAACTGAAACAGCTTAGTGTGGAGTTCTACTCTTAGCGCTTCTGTCGTTTTTTGTAAGCTGCTTAGACAAACGAAGGAGCCAAGGCAAGGTTAGAAGACAGCTTTATCCTATTGGTTAAATTTTAAGATTATACTTGTTTTTTTTTCAAATTATTTTTCCTGAGGTGAAACTTGTTAAGCGGCGGCAGTGAACTAAAAAATCGTCACGGAAATGTGTGAAAATCCGTTTTTTTTCTCTTCATTTACGCTTACAATAATATTGAGAGTGTTTTACCGAAATGCGCTAGGCAGAGGTCTAAGGCTGGGACAAAGACCAATACGAAAACGATGACGAACGCGAAGATGAACGATAAAGATATGACGAATATGAAGATAGCGTCCAAAACAAAGGAAGAATTTAAAAACAAATACGAAGGCCAATGCGAACACGAGGATGAATACGAAGCCGAATACAACAACAGGAATACGAAAACGAATACAAATACGAAGAGGAAGACGATTACGAATATGAGGACGAAGACAACGGCTAATAGCCCGAACACAATGAAAACGACGAGCTACGGACCACAGCTGTCAAATTATTTTTCCACGTAATCTTATATAGATAATTATTTTGGCGACGACAGGGCTACACGACGACTGTAGTTGTGGCCAGATTAGATCTATTTCTATTTTTCCAGCGACAGATGAGGTTCTTCCTCTTCTTTTAAGTCAAGCTCATACAAATTCATGATGTCGCTGCTGCGTTTGAAAAAGTTCATGTCGCGACGAACTATAAATGAATCGAAGAAAGTTTCACTTCAGACGCACTCCTTTTTGATTATAAAAACTTATAAGATTTATTTCTTACATGTGTGATTTTCCGAATTATGAAGAGTTTTAAATGGGGGTGGGGGGTAAATCACATCCACGTGTTTTAAATGCTGTACAGATCGTAATGCTAAAGTAGTTCATGTTACCAATGTCCTAGCGGGTCTTTCTAAGCCTTATTTTACGTTGTTCCACGCTGGCTTGCACCTACTCTGCTCAGCTACATACCACATGTGTGCTCGAATAGCAAAGTAAAGTCAAATATTTAACTTTTGTACTACTATTTACTTAAACTCTAATGAAGACTTTCATTTTTCATTTTTGTTTTTTTTTTTCCTTTTGCAGAAACTACACCAAATATGCTGAGGATACGACATCGCGTGACAGCGACTCGCTAATTCAAGAGTATGGCAATATACCCACAGAGGAGACCAACACATACTGTTGGCGGCATCCGAAGGTGCGCGAAAATTGGCGAACTGTATTAGCTGCCGTCACATTGTTGATTGTCGGCACCGGTCTCTTTGTATTCGGTACATTCGCTGTCGCAGATCCGGCGAACACATCACAAGGTGTGGTGTTCTTTGTAGCTGGCCTAATCTGCTTTATACCGGGCGCCTATCATGTTGTCTACATTTGGCTGGCAGCCAAAGGATACCGAGGGTTCGACTTCTATCATCTCCCGTTGTTTACATAAAATAATGTTGTCGACGCCAATGATGACAATGACGACGACATATACATAGATACCACATAGATAGATGAGAAGGCAAGACAACGATGGCGATGGCGATGGCGATGGCATGGGCGAAGAAGGCATTATTAAAGCCCAGAAAGACGGCGAACCGACGACGAAGACGATGGCGATGGCGATGGCAATGATAAAGGCGCGTTAGCAGAATAGGATAAATGGCTTGCGTTATACATCATTTGAGTTGCGTGTTGTTTGCTTTGAGTGAGCGTTCGTCCTGTTGTTGTCTGCGAAATGTTTACGTTACATTGTCGGTAGCATATGAAATATTTAAACTTTAATGTTTGCCAACAAAGCGATTAAGCGAGTACATAGGAAAGGAGCAAAACATAAACATTTATTGTGGTGTTTAGTAAAGCGTTAATTTTTTTTTTTTAATTTTAGCAACACATCATCGCAATTTCACTTTAAGTCGTTGCAAGTCCAAAAAGCCACACTCAGCTTCCTATTTATATTGCGGCCAAAAACCCGTTATCATCATTCGTAAAATCGTCATATTAGGTTGTGTTTACGAGTTTAGATTAACTCACACACACACACACAGCCATACACACTCTCTCTCTCTCATACACATAATTAATTCAACGCTTGATAAGCAAATGCATGCAGCAATCATCATACGACTTTAGAAAACCGTAAACGACTAATCATAGTATTTAGTCAATATTTAAATGCTACTGATATTGCATAATCGGTATACATACATACATACAATAAAGAGAAGCAACTAAGCAAGTAAGCAAGAAGCAATGAAACGATAAATGTCAATCTACGAATTTTGTTACGTGCAAAAATCTGAAAAATTATTTATAGCAAGTAAATAACTAAAGATTTTATTTTCAAACCAAACAAAAAAAAAAACAAAGGGAAGCCGTACATAAAAATAAATCGCACTATTTTTGTTTATGGAAACTGCATAGCGCAAGCGATTTCCAGCAGTGACCTAATGAAGGCAATTAAACGCGGGGGAGAGTTGGTTTAGAAATGTTTGTTTGCCAAATATACTGCAAATTTACGTTTACGTTTTTCTGTAGGTATGTATTTGAGCTGAGAGGGGAGGATCGGAAATTTAAGTTGTTCATTGAAACGAACTCGAATATAAAAATGTTTTCCAAACTTTATATGTATATCAAATATAAGCAATTTCCGATTGAACTACAAATGAAAATAAAATTTTCGGCTAAGTAAAAAAAGCGTTCCATCGACAAAAAAACAGGGACCGTTACGCCTATGATGACATTTATAATAAAAATCGTCATTTAACCACTAAAATTGGATTTCTGTATTTCAGATCGAATTAAACCTTTATTTTATGATTTTTATCAGGAAGTGATTTAGTCGGTTCAGTTCAGCGGATCTACCCGTTTTTGCACCTTTTGATTGGTTCGTCAAAACGGTTTTTTTTTGTCTTTAAACCGGTATTTCGGTTCGGTAACAATTCAAAAAATATAAATAAAAACATATACCTATAATTTATGTTTTACTCTGTACATATTTAGTAAAAAAATTGCCGGATGGTAAAAAACATGGTTTACCATATTTAAGAAAAGAATAAATAAAAACTATCTGGAAAATTTATTTATTAACAAATAATTTTTAAGCAAAAAACAAAACCGACTTCAATACTCATATAAAAATTTAAGAGTATATGTTCCAATGATCGGATCTAAACTAAATTAGTATGGGCCCACCCCTGAGATACCACCTTTCCTTAAAAAAAAATATAGAAACCGGTTAACGTGTAAAGTTATGCGGTAATATACGCAAAAAAAAAAATATTCCGACGAATTGATAACATCCCCCTTTTTTGAAGTCGGTTAAAAATTTGTCGAAAAGAACACTAAGCCTTTATAAAAAAGTGTTTCCATTTGGAGCAAATATGTCTGGAAAATTTTCGTTCGGTTAGTGGTTCAGTTAATTAGTAGAAAAAAACGGGTCGCCCGGTTCCAAACCGGTTCTCGATCCTGGTTGTACGTATAAAGGCGGAGTCAACGTTCCAGTGCAGAAGTTTGAAATTTTTCATGTGGTTGTTGTTGTGTTTTTCTCTCTGGGAGAGCAACTGAGAAAACTTCGGAACGATTTTGGGTTGTTAACTCAACTTCCACTTCATTTTGAGAAAAAGAACGAAGAATCCGCCTTAAAACTCAGATAATCTTACGATCTTTTATCGAGAGATTGTTTTTATGTTTTTTTTATTTATATAAAGCAATATTAGAAAATACATTTTGAAAAAATTACTATATCTTGATTCTTTTTATATCTCTCATCATTAGCAGAAGAAAATAGTGTTGCCAGGCTGGCTTTTCATTCTGAAATTCAAGGACTTTCGGCCGAATATACAGGGTTTGGGAAAATTTTTATAAATTTACTTAGTTTTTATTATGTAACAATTTGGCTTTTATTCCAAAGAAACTTACGTACATACCTGTTTTAGCAAATTATTTTTTCTGTAGTGTGTGTTTCTCTAGCGTGCTGTTGCATGGAGGGCGCTTTTAGAAAGGGGCATTTTGTACCTTTAACCGCAGAAAGTCATGCTTCGTCGAATCCTGTTTTAAAGAATTTTTTTAAGTTAAAATTTTGTTAAGCAATATTAAAAACACAAACAAAAGTGGAAAAAGAACATAATTATATTTTTCAATCTCGGGGTAAAGGTGGTTACCCTAGAAGAACAGGCAGACACTTAAAAAATTATACCAAAATGAGCAAAGCGATGAGCTGAGCAAATTTAGCCACGTTCGTCTGCTTGTTTAAATGCAAACTAGTCTCTTAGTTTTCGAGATATCCGACTGAAATTTGGTACATGAGTGTATATTTATAATGTTTTAATAATTTATCGACACTGACAAATTTAGCATAGAGTTTTGCATTATAACTTCTCCATTTAAGCAGCTATGAATATAAAATTGCTGACTTTTTTTTAAGTATCATGAACAGAGTGTATGCAGCGAGAATCTTTAAGATTATTATTCAGTTATAAAGTTTTGCTCAAAAACTTCTTCATTTATACAGCTACATAGCAAATTTTTTTATTAATTTTAAAATTTTCGTAGATGTATTTATTTTGTGCGGAGAACAATTTAGATGTTGATATTTTTAAGGACCACCCTAGCGTTATTTGACCAGAAAGAAAAAAAATTAGATGCAACTTTGGACTTTGTAATATTCTGGGACATCCTTGTTTCCATATTGCTACAGTAAAATAAATGAAATCAGTTTAAAGATATCTCAAAAAAAAAAATTACAAACGATTTCAGAAAAATTCTATTGATCTATTTTAATCGAACCTGGCCTCGAAGCACGCGCTCGTGATCGAAAGACTACTCGCTTCGAATCGAATAAAATTCAATTACAGTTGTTTTCTTTACAATGTAATTTGAATTGCCGTAATCTGAAAATCGAATTGCAATTCTTGTTTTGTTCGATATCAAATGCCGTGATTCAGCTCCTGTAGTTGCTTCGAAGGCAGGGTGAACAGAATAAATTCGCAAAAAGTAGCTACTCTTTTTCCCAGTGAAAAAAATTATACACTTGTTCCGTTTCAGCATAGCTATATTTATGTATGTATATAACTACTATAATTGTCGAGGGGGCGCTTTTTGATACCACCTAAATTTTTCGAACTTTAAAATATTAAATCAGTAATTTTTAAGCAAAAAAAAAAAAACAAAACCAATTCAATTCTCATACAAAAATGTAAGAGTATCGTTAATTTTTTCATGATTCCTCTAAAAAAAGAATTATAAAAATCGGTTAACGTGGTCCAAAGTAATGCGGTTACATACAAAAAAAGTAAAAAAATACTCCGACGAATTGATAACCTCCTCCTTTTTTCGATGTCGGTAAAAACACTACTTGCTCGAATCAAAATTTTCTTTCGAAATTAAGGTGGGAATTTTACTACTTAATACGCTTTCTGACTCTCTCTCTGCACTTCATTAAATCTGCATACTTTCGTTGCATATAAATTTGCAATTATAAATATATATTTTTTAGGGTTTTGTTTGGAAAATAAAACACCATAAAAACATATTTACATACATACCTACATATGTAGTTATTGTATGTATGTAAAAACCATGTATGTGTTATGAATGCATGTGTGTGTATATTTGCGCGAAGACTTTATTTTTTGTAATGCATAAATAAATGTTTGTATATGATTTTTGAAAAATATTAAGAAATAATAAAAAAATAAACGTCAAAATAACCAGCATAACAGCATAACTTAGCTTAAGCCAAACTTTAACAATTAATTATGCTAGATTAAGTAACGAATGAAATGGCAAGCGAAAAGGCTTCTTTCTGTAGCACTCGATTACACATAGTATAGCTATGAATACATACACACTCTAGAAGCCGATTAAGCGAATAGCGAATGTGCTGTATAAATTTAAGAATTAAGTAAACCAAAAAAAAAAGTATATAAATACTTATATTTATAGATGTATGTATTAAATTTTTTTGTACACAACCCAAATCGCCTATTTCATGCTTTCCTACCCTGCTACCCCAACTATTAACCAGTCCAAGTTTACACTGTTCTCATTTTTTTTTTTTATATTTAGTGTATAATTGCACACAAACATATAGAAGATACATGCATATGTGTATGTGTTTGTATGTAAACAAGCATACAAAAATTTATACTCACATTAACATTTAATTGTAAAAAAAAAGTATGCTCCATGAAAATGCAATGAAATGGTTGTAAAAAACAAAAAAAAAAAAGGAAAAACAATAGGTGAAATAAATTAAAGCAAAATTTTCAAAAAGTTTTGCAAACAATTGTATTGAGCCAACGTACATGCGATATTTACTTTTAATTAATTGCTACATTGTATACTAGTATTTAGGTGTTCAATGCAACGTCCCTCCACTTTTCCTGGCAATTAGAATTGTTTTTTGTTTCGTTTTTGTTTAATATTTTTATATCGATTTATACATACATACATATTTACTTGTATGCATAATTTATACTTTTAATGCAGGCAATAAGCGATAATAAAAATCTCGATTCTCGAATAAATTAAAAAAATATGTATATTTGTTGTGCGTTTTTCTTTTTTGCATGGTGTATAGGGCGGGTAAGTACGCACTTGAGATGTTAGAGCGAATATTTGGTATTGATTCGAATCAAAACGAAAAAGATCGATGCGGAAAAATAAATCGATATCTCACGAAGATATTGTCATACTACATTATTTTTTTTTAAATTACTGTTAATTGTTTGACTGATGTGCGCCTTAGCATTTCCGTGCATAGAAGTAGGCATATTGAAGAATTCTCCTAGCAAATATGAACTCATGGCTCGAATTTAACCCGGCGCCAAACTTTTTTTGTTGCAAAAAAATATTGTATGTTCGATTTGAATAAATTTTTCAGGAAGTTTTCCTTACATAAAGATTTTTTTTTCCGGTGAAAAGAATTTTTTTAAATTGTTCGGTTGCATCAAATGCACAATAGGTACGGTGACCATCCGTCCTTTATTTTAAAGGACAGTCCTTTATTTTACGCCTTTTGTCCTTTCTTAGACCGTCGTTTAAATCAGCTCTACATTTTTGAGAAGTGAATTTTTAAACACAGAATATGAAAAATAAAAATGTCCCTTATAAAACAGAATGAAAACCTTAGCCAGTTTGTTTCGCACCCCACTTAAGGGTTTCTATTTAATCGGTAATCTTTGTACAATCTATAAAGCAAAGGGAAAGTTGTGCCCAGAATCGTGTTGCAAGCTGAGTTTCCAGTTCCACTGAAAGAGGACAATAAAGCCTTACTCACTGCAGCCGTAATTTTTCAATTGATTTGCTATTTTTTCTTTATGAAATCTTATAATATTTACAAGAGA